GTCGCACGAGTCGGCGCTTATCCAAAAGAATACGGGAGCAAATCCCGGCATGGCTGACCAAAGGTGAAGCATCAACAGCGCAATCCTTGCCCATATGGTTGACTCTGGACATCGTGTGGACCCCAACGACGTCTTGGGGTAATTTAAAAGGTGCCGCCAATTTACCCGAAGTTCTTGGGTCAGTGTGTGTTAACAACAACAGAAGCGACACGATCCGGTTGACGAAGCCGGTGTTTTGAGCGCAAAAGAACTTGCGACAAGCCCCGAGCTTGGCATTGCCAACGGTTACATAACTGCCTGCATCTTTCCACGCCTTCTCCCCCTTCCACCCTCCGCCCTGTCCGGATTCAAGAAACCCTCATCGTCTCGCAACCAGCCGAGTGCTACCAACCCCACCCCCTCCCCTATCCCCATGACTAATTTGCCTGTGATAATGAACATAATTGCCAGCATGTTACTTTTTACCCCCTTTCTATATACATATAGTGGCCCGAGGAGAATTTATCGAAAGCTAGATACTCTTCTGAATTCCTTGATGAAAATTTTTGCAACTTTAAATAATCGAAGGCTTTCACAACAAAATTGCGCGCTATAAATAAAGGCAGACATTTTCTTACATTTCTTGTTTCCTTAGATTTTATAGGGTTTCTCGATATTTCTGAAACATTAGTGGTTAGGAGGTAGTCTAGTTCAATTTACCTGGGGTTAAACTTAGAGTTCCGGAGTTAGATTATTATATTTCAAGTTAAATGCGCAACAACGGTACGTTAGTTTATACTTAAGTTAAGTTTTCAGTTCAACATTATGCCAACTATTTCTATTTCTATTTTACTTTTAGATTATTTTTAGTTATGTGAGTTAAGCTTAGCTGAATTTATTTTTCATTGATTTAATGAATTTTAATTTAATTATTTCCCAAAATTTGCATAATTGCACATTTTAATTATAACGCGCTTTTTGTTGGCAAGCATTATATTATTTAAATAATCATTCCTGTTTATTCCTCCTTTAATTAACTTTGTTTTTTTTACGTATATTTTCTTTCCTCTGTATTGACCAAACTGTATCCTCTTTATCACACCCTGTTATGTATTACAGAAGGATGGGGCTTTTGCGCGCTGATCTGTGACCCCAACTCGGTTTCTACCAGAGAAAATAATAATTCACACACAGGTCCCCGATCCTGTGTCCATCACGGTTGGGGCCGCTGAAAACGAAAGTCAAACTGAACTGTATGAAAAGCAGATACTGTCCCTCCGACTGACACTTGGCATGAAGGGATCTTCGCAATCGCAAAAGAGGCCCTTCAGCGAGCCATGTGCGAAATTTTCATGATCGCTGTTCACATCGTGCCATGCCGGCTACACAAGGAGGTTACTTCAAGTATCTGCAGCAAAAGACGCCTAAACTGTAACATCTGTTTGTTTAGCTTCAGCGAACAAACAATCGATAATGCTTATCAATAGCACGGCGAGTCGCTCAAACGAACACGTGCAGTAAATTTGCACGACAACCGAAAATATTAGGCAACGTAATAGAGAATCAAGTCAAATCGAAAGCGAGGCTTTTTTTCGAATAAAACCTTCCATGGGGCCTATTTTAGAAACCCCGAGCGATCATCGATACTTTTTATCAACCCATCCCACCAAAAACGCCAACTTAGTGAAGTCAGTTTTCAAGCAGGA